TCCTACCTGACATGGGAGAGGTCATTTACGCAAAGCACTCTGCAGTCCTTATAAGGGGCCCTTAAGCATGCAGTAGTAGAAACAGCATGGGACTTGGGGTCAAGCAACCTCATTTAGGATCCTGGCCCTGTTGTGTTAACTTAAGCAACTCACTAACTCTTTCCAGGCCTCAGTATCCTCACCACTTTCTTAAGGATTTTTTTTAAAGTAATCTCTACACACAACATGGGGCTCAAAACCACAACCCCGAGATCAAGAGTTGCACACTCCACCTACCGAGCCAGTCAGGCGCCCTAATTTTTATTCAATGTGATACTGAGTTTGAGTCAGAGCAGTTAAGCAAGAAAAAAAGAAATAAAAAGTACCCAAATTTACGGGCGCCTGGGTGGCTCAGTCGTTAAGCATCTGCCTTCGGCTCAGGTCATGATCCCAGGGTCCTGGGATCGAGTCCCACATCGGGCTCCCTGCTCTGAGGGAAGCCTGCTTCTCCCTCTCCCACTCCCCCTGCTTGTGTTCCTGCTCTCGCTATGTCTCTCTCTGTCAAAAAAATAAATAAAATCTTTAAAAAAAAAAAAGTACCAAATTTTAAAAAATAATTTGTTTGGAGATGACATGATCTTATATGTAGGAAACCCTAAAGATTCCATTAAAAAACTCTTAGATCTAATAATGAATTCAGTACACTTGCAAGATACAAAACCAACACACAAAAATCTGTTGATTTTTATATACTAGCCATGAACTATCAGAGAAATTTTTTTAAATGCCTTTTATAATTGTATCAAAGAATAAAATACCCAGAAATAAATTTAATCAAGGAGGTGAAAAACCTGTACACTAAAAACTGTTAAGACACTGATGAAAGAAGTTGAAGAAAACACAAATAAGTGGAAAGATTTCCACCCTCGTGGGCTGGATTGTTAAAATGTCCATACTACCCAAAGCAATCTACAGATTCAATCCACCGATGCAATCTACAGATTCAATGCAATCCTTATCAAATTCCAATGGCATTTTTCACAGAACTAGAACAATTACATTTGTGTGGAACAACAAAAGAGCCCAAATACCAAAGCAAGCTTGATAAAGAACAAAGCTGGAGGGGCGCCTGGGTGGCTCAGTTGGTTAAGTGGCTGCCTTCGGCTCAGGTCATGATCCCAGAGTCCTGGGATTGAGCCCCGCATCGGGCTCCCTGCTCAGCGGAGAGCCTTCTTCTCCCTTTCCCTCTGCCTGCCGTTCTGCCTACTTGTGCTCTCTATCTCTCTGTCAAATAAATTTAAAAAAAAAAAATCTAAAAAAAAAAAAAGAACAAAGCTGGAGGCATCATGTGCTCTGATTTCAAACTATAATACAATAATACAATAGTAATGAAAATAGTATGGTACTGACATAACAACAGACACACTGATCAATAAGACTGGATAGAAAGCCCAGAAATAAACCCACACATATATGGCCAATTAATATGCAACAAAGAAGGCAAGAATATACAATGGAGAAAGAACTGTTTCTTCAATAAATGGTGTTGGGACAACTGACAGTCACATGCAAAAGAATGAAACTGGACACCATCTTATACCATACATAAAAACTAGCTCTTTAATCCATCAAAATGGATTAAAGATTTGACTGTAAGACCTGAAATCATAAAATTCCTAGAAAAAACATAGGCAGTAAGTTCCTTGACATCAGTCTCAGTGATAAGTTTTTGGACTTGACACCAAAAACAAAGGCAACAAAAGCAAAAATAAACAAGTAGGACTACATCAAACTAAAAAGCTTCTGCACTATGAGGGAAACCATTAACAAAATGAAAAGCCAACCTACTGAACAGGAGAAAATATCTGCAAATCATATATCTGATAAGGGGTCAATATCCAAAATATATAAAGAACTTACACAACACAACAGCAAAAAATAAAATCCGATTTTAAAAATGAGAAGAGGTTCTGAATGAATATATTTCTGAAGAAGACATACAGATGTCAAATAGGTAAATGAAAAGGTGCTCAACATCACTAATCATGAGGGAAATGCAAATTAAAACCACAACGAGATGTAACCTCACAACAGTCAGAATGGCTATTATTAATAAGACAAGAAATAACAAGGATGTCAAGAAAAGGGAACCTTTGTACACTATTGATGTGAATATAAATTGGTGCAATCACTACAGAAAATATTATGGAGGGCTCCCCAAAATATTAAAAATAGAACTACAATACGATCCAGTAATTACACTTCTGGGTATTTATCCAAAGGAAACAAAAACACTAACTCAAAAAAGATACATGCACCCCCATATTCATTGCAGCATTATTGATAATAGCCAAGACACCGAAGCAACCTAAGTGTCCACTGATGGATCAATGGATAAAGAAGATGTGATACACACACCAAATAAAATAGTCAAGTAAAAAAAAAAATGGAACTCTTTCCTTTTGCAACAACATGGATGGACCTTCAGGGCATTATGCTAAGTGAAATAAATTAGAGAAAGACAAATACCATATAATCTCACTTATGTATGGTATTTAACCACCCCTGCAGTCCCCAAAAAATCCAAATTCAAAGATACAGAGAACAGATTGCGGTTGCCAGAGGCAGGGGGTGAGCATAATGAATGAAGATGGTCACAAGGTACAAACACCTACTTATAAAACAAGTAAGTTGTGGGGATATAATGTACAGTATGATGACTATAGTTAATAATACTGTATTGTATATTTAAAACGTACCAGGAGAGTATATCTTAAAAGTTCTCATCACAAGAAATTTGAAACTATGTATGGTGATGGATGTTGACTAGATTTATTGTGGTGATCATCTTGCAAAACATACAAATATGAAATTATTATGTTGTACACATGAAACTAATATAATAAGGTCCTTTTTTTCTTTCTCAAATTTTTATTTAAATTCTAATTAACATATAGTGTCATATTGGTTTCAGGAGAATTTTTTTTTTTTTAAGATTTTATTTATTTATTTGACAGAGAGAGAGATAGCGAGAGCAGGAACACAAGCAGGGGGAGTGGGAGAGCGAGAAGCAGGCTTCCTGCCGAGTAGGGAGCCCGAAGCGGGACTCGATCCCAGGACGCTAAAATCATGACCCAAGCTCAAGGCAGACACTTAACGACTGAGCCACCCAGGTGCCCTCAGGAGTAGAATTTAATGATTTGTCACTTACATATAACACCCAGTGCTCATCATAACAAGTGCCCTCCTTTTTTTTTTTTTTTTTTAAGATTTTATTTATTTGACAGAGAGAGACACAGTGAGAGAGGGAGCACAAGCAGGGGGAGTGGGAGAGGGAGAAGCAGGCCTCCCGGGGAGCAGGGAGCCCAATGCAGGACTCGATTCCAGGAACCTGGGATCATGACCTGAAATGAAGGCAGACGCTTTATGACTGAGCCACCCAGGCGCCCCTACAAGTGCCCTCCTTAATACCCATCACCCATTTAGCCCATCCCTTACCCACCTCCCTCCATCAACCCTCAGTTTGTTCTCTATTGTTAAGAGTCTCTTGTGGTTTGTTTCCCTCTCTCTTTTATCCCCCTTCCTGTATGTTCACCTGTTTTGTTTCTTAACTAATATAATGTCGTATGTCAATTATATCTCAATAATAAAAAAGAAATACAAAAAGAATGTTTATAATTTAAAAATGTAATAACAAATATTAAAATCTAAGGAAGGTAAAGTTGAAGAAATTCTCAACCTTAGTTGAGAGAAAAGAAGAGAAAGAAAATAGACAAAAATAAAAATCTGAAAATTTTTTGACAGACAAAAACCCTGAATGTCCAATCAATATATGGTTAAATAAACCTCTATGTAACACTATGAAGTGGTAATGGTAGTAGTACTCTAGGAAAGATCTCCATAATGAATCATTAATTGAATAAATAATGTAAACTGCTAAAAACCCAGTCAGTATGACCTCGTTTACATAAAAGGGGGAAAAAACACACACCATATGCTTCTATATATAAAACAGTATTTAGGGTACCTGGCTGGCTCAGTCAGTGGAGCATGTGACTCTTGATCTCAGGGTTGTGGGGTTTGAACTCCACACTGGTGGGTGTAGAGATTACTTAAAAATATGTCCACCTGGATGGCTCAGTTGTTAAGCGTCTGCCTTTGGCTCAGGTCATGCATGATCCCAGGGTTCTGGGATTGAGCCCTGCATCGGGCTCCCTGCTCCAGAGGAAGCCCGCTTCTCCCTCTCCCACTCCCCCTGCTTGTGTTCCCTCTCTCGCTGTGTCCTCTCTGTCAAATAAATAAATAAAATATTTAAAATATATATACATATAATCTTAAAATCCTCCATATCTAAAACAGTATGTAAGTATAAAAAAAGATGTGGAATTAAACATATTAAAATGATAATTTCTAGATAGAGGAGTGAGTTGGGGGAAAAAAGGAAAGGGAATATTTTGCTTTTAATTGTATATATTTCCATTAAAAATTTTTTTACAATGAAAATGTCTTCATATATTACCTTTGTGTAATTTTTTTTAATTTTATTTTTAGGCAATCTCTACACCTAATGTGGTACTCAAATTCACAACCCTGAGATCAAGAGTCGCATGCTCCATCAACTGAGCCCCCATTTGTGTAATTTTTTAAAGAGAGAAAAGAAGGGGAAGAAGTGAAAGGAAAATAAAAAAGGATTGGTAAAATACTTAGTAGATGAGGAATATTTTCCTTAATTAATTAGAATCTCAAAAACAAAACAAGATTAAATAATAATGATTTTACTTGCTGTGTAACATTCTACTTGTTGAGCACATTAAAGTCACCTCCAAAGTACTTAAGACAATAAAATCTACAGAAAGTGAAATATATATACTTTTATATATTACATATATATATTTTTTTAATAGCCAAAAACAGTACACTATCACCAACTTAAAAAAAAAAAGACAACTCTTTCACAACAGAATCAGTAGAGAAATTTTCTCTCTACAATTACACCTCTAAGAAGTCTGATTCTAGCCCTCCTCTCGAGCTTCTCCCCGGGGCGGCCGCGCGGGAGGGAGGCCGAGATGGCAGATGAGATCGCCAAAGCTCAGCCCGCGCGGCCTGGTGGCGACACGATCTTCGGGAAGATCATTCGCAAGGAAATCCCAGCCAAAATCATTTTTGAGGATGACCAGTGTCTTGCTTTCCATGACATTTCCCCTCAAGCACCAACTCATTTTCTGGTGATACCCAAGAAACCTATATCTCAGATTTCTGTAGCAGAAGATGATGATGAACGTCTTCTTGGACATTTAATGATTGTGGGCAAGAAATGTGATCTGGGCCTGAAGAAGGGTTATCGAATGGTGGTGAATGAAGGTTCAGATGGGGGACAGTCTGTCTATCATGTTCATCTCCATGTTCTTGGAGGTCGGCAGATGAATTGGCCTCCTGGTTAAGCATGTTTTAGGGATAGTTTTCCCTTATCTAGGCAATGGTCAATATTTCCCAGTTCCAGTATGTTAAACAGTATACTTTGTTTGTGTATGGAGAGATTGAGGAAATAATTTTTAAAACCCATACATAATAAAAGACAATGTTGCATGGTTTACAGTCAAAAAAAAAAAAGAAGTCTGATTCTAGCCAAAAGATTATATGCTCAGGATATATCACCAGATTCTTTCCTAAATGGGCCACCTGGGTTGAGCTCCTTGCTCAGTGGGGAGTCTGCTTCTTTTTCTCCCTCTGCCCCTCCCCCTGCTCTTGTGCATGCTCTCCCTCTCTCACTCAAATAAATAAATAAATAAATAAATAAATAAATAAATTTTTTTAAAAAGTATCACAGACTCTCACTGCTCTATATTCTGGCAAAGTTCTTATGTTTACACTTTGGTCTAAAATTCTGCAGGATCCTTCATATTCCTGATCCTGTTAACTAAGAAAACACTAATTTTCCATTTAAGTCCAAGAGTACAGAAAATGTGTGTAGGGATAAAGTTGAAACCCAAATCTTTTAAAAAGTTAATTTATTTTTGGGTGTCTGTGCCTGGGTGGCTCAGTCAGTTAAGCATCTGCCTTTTGCTCAGGTCATGATCCCAGGGTCCTGGGAGTGAGCCCCACATTGGGCTCCCTGCTCAGCAGGGAATCTGCTTCTCCATCTCCTTCTGCTCCTTCCCCCACCTTGCTCGTGCTTGCTCACTCTCTCGATCTCTCTCAAATAAATAAATAAAATCTTAAAATAATTTATTTCAGTACCTAACCTTGTTTTCCTAATTTTGGATCTTAACCACATGGTCAAAAATCAGAGGTAACAGCAAATATTACAAGTACAATTTTTTTTTCAAAGATATTAAAAATCGTAAGTACATTTAAAATATTTTCAAAGTGTGGGGGCACCTGGGTGGCTCAGTTAGTTAAGTGTCCGACTCTTGATTTCAGCTCAGGTCATGATCTTGGGGTCCTGGGATTGGGCTCTACGCCTAGTGCAGAGTCTGCTTGAGATCCTCTCTCTCCCTCTCCTTCTGCCCCTCCCCCAACTTGCGTGCATACACAGGCACACTAAAAATAAATAAATAAAATCTTAAAAAATATATTTTCAAAGTGTATTTCTAATTCTGTGAGCAAATCCTTGGATGCACATTTTGCAACATAATTAGAATATTCAATTTAAGATATCCCACTAAAAATTCTATTTGTACAAAGAGTAAAGTTAAGTAGCCTAAAGGCATTTTAGCACCTAGCTGCCAAATTCCAGAGTCTGGATTATTACAAGAACATTCTGCTATCACCTCTAGCAAGAGTCTTGAAGAAAAAAAAGAGAAAAATATGTTGAAAGATTGAGAAAATAAAATCATTATACTTTGGAACCCTTTTAGGACAACTCATTAGTTTCGTGTTACCATTTCTTTATCTAGTAACAATATTCAATTGAATTACTAAAAAGAAGAAATGAATTAAATACCATCTATCACTTTGTTCCCCTAATTTGAACAGTAAGTCAGTTTCATAAATATTTTCTAAGCTATACTTTATGACTCTCTAAACTGATCTCTAAACTCTAAAATATTCTTACTTTCCAAATAATTACCTATTCTGTATTTGCCATTTGTGTCTTTTTTCCCTAGGTAGCAGATTAAGGTCTTTTACTGAATTTTAGTAAATTGATGTTTGCTTGGCATATTTATCATAACAAATACAAACAACTAAGTAATCTAAAGTCACTCGTTCCTTACTTGGAAGTTTGGCCACAAGTGATCCCCCTTTCAAACTTTTATTTCTTATTTTACTTTTTTTTTTTTAAGATTTTATTTATTCATTTGAGACACAGAGACACAGAGACAGAGACAGAGAGAGAGAGAGAGAGCATGAGCAGAGAAAGAAGCACAGGGAGAGGGAGAAGTAGGCTCCGTGCCGAGCCAGGAGCCCGATGTGGGGCTCGATCCCAGAACCCTGGGATCATGACCTGAGCTGAAGGCAGACACTTAACCATCTGAGCCACCCAGGCGCCCCTCTTATTTTACTTTTTTGATAACAGCTTCACAGGGGCACCTTGCTGGCTCAGCCAGTAGTGTGACTCCTGATCACAGGGTCATGAGTTCGAGACCCACATGGAGCGTAGAGGTTACTGATAACAGTTTCACTCAGATATAATTCACATATCAAACTCTTTTATTAGTTATGGTTCTACTTACCATAATATTTCAACTACCATCTAACTACTATAAACAAAATCTCCCTCCATTGTTCTGTTTGTAAACTGTTATCCCTTAGAACTGTGTTAGCAAAAGAAAATTGGGAGTTTTGACAAAAAATTAGAAATAATGAGTTTCTAAAGTTCTTTTCACTGTATCCAGAAGTACCACCACTTACGACACTTTCTAGGGGAAAAAATGCATTGAAAATCCTAAATGCCTGGGTGGCTCAGTCGGTTAACCATCTGCCTTCGGCTCAGGTCATGATTCCAGGGTCCTGGGAAAGACTCCCTCATCAGGCTCCTTGCTTAGCGGGGAGCCTACTTCTCCCTCTGCCTGCCACTCCCCCTGCTTATGCTCACTCTCTATTTCTCTCTCTCTGACATATATAAATACAATCTTTAAAAAAATCCTAAAATAAAGGGTCCTGGGATCGAGCTCTGCATCGGGCTCCCTGCTCCGTGGGAAGCCTGCTTCTCCCTCTCCCACTCCCCCTGCTCGTGTCCCCTCTCTCACTGTGTCTCTCTCTGTCAAATGAATAAATAAAATCTTTAAAAAAAATAAAAAAAATAAATTTCAAAACAAACTTTTAAAATATGATTTGTTCAAAAATTGAGGTTTTCTATTATGCAGACCAGAGAACACCCAGCAGTCTATAAATCACTGTGAAGATGTATTTTTATCTCTTTGGTGGGGAAGTGACAAGTTTAGAAATGTAACGTGTGAGCCAGCTATTTATTCTTTGAAAACTAGAAATTAAACAAGAGAATTTAAAAGCAATATCTTGATTTTCCACTTTTCTTTTCCTTTAGGAAAATCTTAACCTTTTCATTAACAATGAGAAAAAAGTGGGGCACTTGGGTGGCTTAGTCAGTTTAGCGATCAACTCTTGCTTCTGGCTCAGGTCATGATCTCAGGGTCATGGGATTGAGCCCTGTGTTGAGGCTCCGCATGGAGTCTGCTTGAGATTCTTTCCTCTTCCTTTTTCCTCCCCCTCTGCTCCTTCCCCCACTCTCTCTCTTTCTCTCAAATAAATAAATACTGGAGGGGAAGGGGGTGGGGGGATGGAATAACTGGGTGATGGGTATTAAGGAGGGCACATGATGTAATGAGTACTGGGTGTTATATAAGACTGATGAATCACTGAACTCTACCTCTGAAACTAATAATATACTATATGTTAATTAAGTTTAAATAAATTTTAAAAATAAAATCTTAAAAAAAGAAAAAAGAAAAAAAACTTCACATTCCCTAATGATGTGCCACGGCTACTTGTGTTGGTTATGCAAGTTTTATTATATTGTCAAATTTTATTTTATTTTATTTTATTTTTTTAAGATTTTATTTGTTTGATAGAGAAAGACATAGTGAGAGAGGAAACACAAGCAGGGGGAGTGGGAGACAGAAAAGCAGGCTTCCCGTGGAGCAGGGAGCCTGATGCGGGGCTCGATCCCAGGACCCTGGGATCATGACCTGAGCTGAAGGCAGCCGCTTAAAGACTGAGCCACCCAGGTACCCCTATATTGTCAAATTTTAAAAAGCAAAACATATTGTATCTCTTTAAAATATCTTAAATTCAAATACCATAGATTTTAGAAATATTAAGTAGTCATTTAATTCAATATGCACAAATCTCATTTGGGAGATATATTTTAACCAACCACTTTGTCAAAACATCTAATAATTTTACAAACTCTTCTTCAGCTTTCTCAATCATTATAAGGTCTTAATTATCTTTAGTCTTTTGATTAGGTATCAGTTTCTGACTCATTCTATAAGTAAAAGTTTAAATTTTAACTCCTTACATTTCAGGAAGAAGACTAGCAATAACAAATAGCCTACCCATGAATAAATAAATATTTTTAGCTTGCCAGTATTTCACAATTTTCTGTGAAAAGACCAAGAAATATATTACTATATCATTATAGCAGATTTCAAAATATCACTCTCAGATTACAGAATTCCTTACTGACTGACATTTTGGTTATCTGCAGGAAAGCCAAAAACTGAAAGCCACATAGCAATTAAATATAGAAAAATGTTTCCTAATTTTCTGATAAAATGAAGACCACAGTCTTTTGTCTATAAATACAATGAAAATGCTCTAAAACTCAATTAAAAAGTTAAGGATAATAAGAATAACATTCCTTCAAAAATTAGTCGAGATTGTAGAAATTTTATCTTATACAAATTTTATCTCTGTACATAAATATAAAATTTTTATTCTTGGAGATGAAATTTTAAAGTAGACTCCACGCCTAATGTGAGGCTTCAACTCATGACCTTGAGATCGAGTCTCATGCTCTACTGACTGAGCCAACCAGACACTCTGTGTTCTTAGAGATAAGAAAAACCACAAATATACCTACTACTAAATGAATAGCATTTTGAGTGCTTCCCAAAGGCAAAACCAAAATCTTTGAAGCAAAATAAAAACTCATGTTCATAATACATTTTTTCCAACTTTTCAAAACTGTTTATTTTCCATCAACCTTATTTCCATTTTGTTTAAGAGTCTGTGGAAGAACAGCTTAAGACCACTCAGTGGTTGTTCTGACCCATTCAGTGGCCTGAACAGTGGTAGCTGCAGATCACTCTTCAGTGGCAGTCTGAGTACTCCAGTCTCCAGTAGGGAACTAACTGCTGTGAAGGCAGAGAGGGCACCTCTACACCTTTAGAAAAGTCTGTGACATCAGGTTGAGAGCACTCAACTGCTTCCACCTGCATTCCATTCACCTGAATTTCCTCCTTGGTCATAGCCTTTTCAGCAGCAGCCTACTCTCCCTTTTCAATCTCTTCAGGATTGCTGGAGAAATACAGATCAAGCATGATCTCCCATGGGTGTTTATGGGAGACAGTGCCACACATGCATAGAACTTCCCAGGCCAGCATCTACCACATCAGACCTCCCTTGTTGTAAGGGAGCTCCCTTGTTGTAAG